CCTTTAATCCCAGCCCTCGGGAGGCAGAGGCAGGCGGATCTTTGTGAGTTCGAGGCCAGCCTGGTCTACAGAATGATATCCAGGAAAGGCGCAAAGCTACACAGAGAAACCCTGTCTCGAAAAAAAAAAAAAAGAAAAAAAGAAAAAAAGAAAGAAAGAAAGAAAGAAAGAAAGAAAGAAAGAAAGAAAGAAAGAAAGAAAGAAAGAAAGAAAGAAAGAAAAGAAAAGTCATGGTGTTCACAGAGAAAGAGTAAATATATTTAAAACCACTCCAGGGGCTGAGGTGTAGCTCCATGGTAGAATGCTCAGTTACAATGTATGGATGATGGGTTCGATTCTCAGCACCACATACACACACATGCAAACCACTCTGTCTAGATGTGATTCTGTGTACTTGGAATGTTAACTATGTTGGACCTCCTGGCACAGGCCTGTAACCCCATCGACTCAAGAGGCGAGGGCCAGAGGACAATGAGTTCATGGTATGCCTGGGCTACAGTATGAGTTCAATGCTAGCCTGGGCAACTTAAGGAGACCTTGGTTCAAAATAAAAGAGGAGGATAGCGTGTAGTTCAGGGCAGAGCATCAGTTGGTATATGTGAGGACCCAGGCTCAATCTCCAGCATCAAAAAAAAAAAAAAAAAGAAAGAAAGAAAGAAAAAAGAAAAGAAAAGAAAAAAAGTGGGTGCAACCCAGCCACCACTTGGGTGTAAAATGTTAGTTAGATACTGCTCCTCTCTGCTGCCCCTCTCAGTGACTGCCACTGACTTCTGTAATCACTGCGATGCAAACCCTGCTCTGATCTCATGCCATGTCCCTACCCAGGGGACGGTTTCTTCTGGACATCAGCGTTTTTTGCTTGTTTTCCATCCCACCTGCACTCATTCTTTTAATATTGCCTTATGTATACAAACCACTCTTTGTTTGGTTCACACAGACAAGGAAGCCAAGTTCACTATCCTCTGCCATCTCCCATCCCCAGCTCTACATCCACATAGTAACCACCTGTGAAAGCTAATTCTGTCAACTTAACTAGCCGTGGGGTGCCCCGGGGATGTGGTCAAACATTTATTCTGATGCAACTGTAAGAGTGGACAATTTGTATCAGTAGACTGAATAAAGCAAGTGGTGCACCAAAATGTAGGTGGGCTTTGCCCAGTCTGAATTTTAAAATGCCCTCTCTTTAATGGTCTTATCCTGGGACACTGAGTTTTTTCCTAGCTTCCAGATTCAACCATTCAACCAGTAGAACATTGGCTCTTGGCCCATGGGCCCATTGGCTTTCAAACAGCTCTCCCCCTGTCTCTGCTGGGGCTCCAGTTCACCTACTGCAGATCATGGAACTTCTCAGTCTTCATAATCACGTGACCTCAACCTTACAATAAATCCTACCCCCCAGTTTTCAGTACAGTCTGTTCTGGAGAACCCTGACCAATAGCAGTCCTTTCTTCATCAAGGGGAGGACTGACCCCGTTCAGTTGTTCTCTGGCCTCTTGTGTAACATTTCCAAGCTGGAAGACTTAAACCCACAACTTGGCTCATGTATTTCTCAAATTCTGTATTGTCCTTGTTTGCATATGTCTTCTCTTGCCTTATACCTGAGGGTGTCGACTACTACTTCTCTTTATATCCCCTAGAGCCTAATGCAATACCTCTGTTGTTGAGTAGGTGAATATTACCTCAAGCTAAACAAGACTGAACATTGAAAGACTATGAAAGTCTGACATAATACTATATAATTGAATTTGAAGACAAATAATATCTAGATGATCTATTTGTGACAAAACCCAGAAAATGACTCCATTAGAGGACATCTACAGTATGTGCAAGATGCTTAGGTGGTGTTTTATTACCTGGAGAGTTTTAAAATAGCTCTCATGCCAAATCTACCCCCAGAACAATTTAATAAAAAGCTCTGGAGTGGTTTGTAGGCAGTATTGTTTTTAACCTTCTGAAATAATTCTTATAGGCAGTCAGAGTTGGAAGTCACAGTCCACAGGGAATGCAGGTGAACTGATTTCGGTTTCTATGAGGGATGAACTTCTGTTGAAAAGGAGACTTATGGCTGGAGAGATGGCTCAGCTGTTAAGAGCACTGGCTGCTCTTGCTGGAGAACCCAGGTTCGGTTCCCAGCATCTACATGGTGGTTCACAACTGTCTAGAACTCCAGTTCCAGAGCACATGTGTACATTCACACAAACACACATACACAGAAAATAGAAACAAACAAACAAACAAACAAATAAATAAGACTTCAATTTGTCTTTGGTGTCAGAAAGGGAAGACAGATGTGACTGAAAATTTTCATCAGTAACTATTTATTGATCACGTACTCATTCCTTCTGACACCCATAGAAGTAAGTAGTGTTTGTTACTGGGTGCATTTTGCAAATGGAGACTAGGAAATGGGAAAAGCACTTGTATTTACAGTGATAACTAAGTAAGGTAGCTGAGACAGGGAAATGTGAACCCGGAATACCCAGGAGGCTTCAGAGTGGGTGGGAAATTTGGTGCTTCTGTGACCAATGTACTGTGTGTTGTGGATGTCCACACAGGCATGCACATGTATGATGCTTTTTTCTTAGCTGTGCTGATGACTGAACTCAGGACCTTGTGTATTAGGCAAGTTCCATACCAGTGTGTTAGGTCTCCAGCCCTGGAGCTTTTTCAGTAGAAGTAAAATGGATTAGAGGGGCGTGGGACTGGGGCTGGACTCTTATAGAAGAAAAAGCAGCCAGGCGGTGGTGGTGCACGCCTATAATCCCAGCACTTGGGAGGCAGAGGCAAGCGGATCTCTGTGAGTTCGAGGCCATCCTGGTCTACAAAGCGAGTTCCAGGACAGCCAGGGCATGGTGACACGGAGAAACCCTGTCTTGAGAACGAAAGAAAGAAGGAAAGAAAGAAAAAGGAAAAGCAGGACCTTGGGGCATGGTAACAGGGTAGGCCAAGGAGACAACATCAGGAAGGGTCTCTAAGGAGAGGATATGGGCTTCAGATGGTGGTTTCAGCAAGCTGACTTGCCAATGTTCTCCCTTAGGCCAGTTACCAGCTTTAGCTAAGTTGGGGTAACCCTGGGAAAGGGCCCAATAAGGGTAGAATACCAAAGGGGTGCTCTCCACAGTCCTCCCTTAAGCCAAAGTGGTGAGCATCGTTCATGCAGAGTAACTGGAACGTGTGAAGAGCCACGTGACACGAACTCAGAAGACTAAGGCAGGAAAGGCCCCAGGACCAAAAGAACAAGAACAGTTTGTCTGGCTAGAGGGGACCCTGGAGCCTACTATCGGGACACCCTGGTGGTCTGGGAGGTCTCCTATAGCATTCCAGGTTGTTGTTAGTGACACATCAATACAAACATGGACTTAAGTAGCCCTCTAGCCCCACCCTCAATTAGAGCCCAATACCTCACAGGGGATCTTTGGGAAGTCCGGCCCTACCTTTGGTTAGGGAGTGAATCCCCAGCTTGACCTGGGAAAAGTTCCCGCTTCCGATCTCCCCTCGAATTCGATAGAAGCCGATGCGTTTCCCCAGCGTGATCTCCCTCACCACCTTCTCGTCTTGGCACATGTCCTGAGTCAGTTTCTCGAAGGGGGTCAGCTGGCGCGGCTGGTCCTCCTCGCCTTCCTGGCCGCACTCGGTCTGGCCGCCGCTGCTTTCCGCGCTGTCCCTCCGGTCCCACCGGTCACAGTGTGTGTTCACCAGGCCGCCTCCATTCACAAACACTGCAGTCATCGTCCATGCGGGCTCACGTCTCCATCTCAGCCCAGGGCCACTGTCAGGGCGGTTTGAAGGACGACGGGCAGAGGCCACAAGGGAGGCAGATGTGAGCTGAGGTCTCCAGGAGCAGTGTTCCTGAGAGCGCCGAGAGCAGAGCAAAAAGAAGTCCTTGGGAGAGACTCGGTGGCTGGATAGAGCTTGCACAGCCCAGCGGGGCCTCACTCCAGGCCCTTTCTGACCTCGGGTTTCCAAGCGCTCGCTGCACAGCCAGACGGACATCCAGTTACCATAACTCCTCCTGAGGCGGAATCTGATGCCCTGTGTGGTAGGTGGCTGCCACGGGGGGACAAAGGCTCCTCTTTATTTCCCTGTGCAATCAGGCAGTCTTGCACTCCAGAGTGTAAAAGCCCCTGGGAGGCCCCCGAGTCCCTGCAGCGGGTACTCATCGCTGACCTTCATTTTGTGTTTCCGCTTGCTGTCAAGTCGCAGGACCCTGGGGACTTAATAATCTGAACTCCAGAAAGGACAAGTCTTGCAAAGCAGCCTTTGGTCACACAGGCAGCCGGAGGGAGGATTAAATCTGCACAATGTCACTTTAGCCGGCCTTTATTTAGATGAGCCCTCTTCTAAGCCCTGAGCTGTCCTGAAAATTTGGCGATGACAGCTCACCCTAAGGACAGAGAGTAAAATAGTTAGCCCATTCTAACGCGCTGCCCAGGAGAACACGAAACAATTCATGAGCATTTTTCTAAAAGCACTCTAGGAATTTATGAGTCATGTTACCAGTAGATGCTACATTGCATACCGTTTAACAAAAAGGAAAGTCAACATGTATACATGCTCTCAATGCACATTTTAGGAAACCGTTACAGGCCATGAGTTTCAAGCAAGGCATATTTGTATTAGCTGTATTAGTTCAGCTCAAAAAACAGATTTTTTTTTAGAATAGGAAACCACAATAATGACAGTTTACCACTTTCCAAACTGCCTTACATTTTTTTGGAATGTGTTTTATCTCCTCGAACGCCTTCGTACTCCAGCCCAGCATCCCCTTCACTGGTTGCTTTCATGCTTTCTGTTTCTCCAAAGACAAAGACCACTTCTCTCCGCTGCTTATATTTTTCCTTATATTTCCGCTGGGCTGCCAGTGTGCAGGCCCGGCCCTTTATGTGACAGACAGACACGTAGGCCAGCATGGCCAGAGGTGTGAAGGCTGCCCTGTGGACCGCATTCCAGACTGCGCCTGCAATCTCTAGCCAGTCAGCTGTCCTAGGCTCACGGAGCCCTATGAGATGGTCACAAAACAGCACTAAGCAGCGTCTTCCCTCCGAGTCCCCTTGGCGTTCTGATTACTTTCTGAAACGTCCCTTCTCCTCAAAGGTGGAAAGCACAGTCCGCCCCTACTTCCCGTCCTACAGCATGGAGTGAGTGCTGGGCTCTGGGTGTTGAGAGTGTTCACTAAATGTGTATGAAGCTTGACTTTTGAACTTGAGCATTTTCTGAACAACAACAAAACAAAACCAAACAACTAAACAAACAAACAAACAAACAAACAAACAAACAAAAAACCCAACCTAACAGATTGCCTTGGAAATGCAATTTCTAGTCTGCTTGAAGATATTGTTATTGTTATGACTAGGACTGCCTATATTGTTGTTACAGGTTAAGTATGGGGTTGCTATAAGAAAGGGTAGAGGGTTCGTGCCCAATACTCCTCCTATTTTTGGATATGGGGACACGAAGGTGGAAGAAGTCTGCAGGGTTATAAAGGGCCACACAGCAATAACTAACACAGCTCTAAGGCAGAGTGATTCAGATGTTAAAAAAAACAAAACAAAACAAAAAAACAAACAAACAAAAAAAAAAAAAAAACCATGGAGGCCAAAGTTCCTTTACTGGATTAAGGAAATTTAAGACACTAATTACAATTGTCCTGGACTCGCAGACTCCTTTGAGACACTAACAAAATCTATGACCAGGAAAAAGCACACCCACACAATTTGCATGTAGCGTTAGAGCGTTCACAGACACTCTGAAACCTACCCCTGGATGTCTGGCTGAGCAAAGGTCAAGTGACACCCGACGCTCACAGATTTGCAATACAGAGCTCATGAGAGCCGGGAGTAGCATCAGCCGTAATTCTGAAAGAAACTTTAGCTTAACCTATGCAAAGGAGAGGGACTAGTCCAGGTGCCGTGAGTCTTTTCCAGTGCAGCGGCCGCTGTGAAGAACTCTTGGCTCTGGAGGTATCCTCTTGGAGTGCCTCCTCACCGGGCCGCGGTTGTCAATGGCCTATTTTACCACAGCCAAATAAATAAAGTGTGTCTCCGGGCTCTGCACAGTGTCTGGCACGCATCTGATAAGTTTATTAAAGAAGAAACGAACTAAATGCCAAGTTACCCAAGGTTAGGTTTTAGTTTGGTCTAGTAGAGGTAAATACCTTTGTATTTATAAACTAATAACACTAGCCCAGCATTTACTTTTCATTATCCCAGAAAACTTACTTCAGCACATTCTTTCCAGAGCTTGGGCTACACTGCACCAGCCGTTAGGATTCTCGACCCCACCTTCCTGTCTGGATGAAACGCTTAACTGCAAGTCTATCACCAGACTGGGACGTGTTGTGGGACTCCTTACACATACATCTCCTTGTCTTTGCTCCTTCCAAGAGGTCCACTCTTCCCAAGCCCTCAGGACTCCAGGTACCAGCTTCCCTCACCCCCACACAATTGCTGGCCCAGGGCTTGCCCTCTGCTTTCCTGGTTCCCCAATGCTCTCGATGTGGGCTCTGTATCTTGAGCTGCACCGGGGCCCTGGGATTACACAGTGTTTTAACCTCACTAACTCAATTGACTTTTGGTGCCTCCTAGAACAAGTCCCCCTTCTTGCTCCACTCGGAGAAGAGGTCAGATATGATTGCTGCCAGTGGTCAAGGTGTTTGGTGCTTTATGAGTTACATGTCCTCAAGTTAGATTTCTTGCAACATGGCCTTAAACCAGTTCTCTTTTCTCAAAAGCCAGGAAAACGGCTACTCTTCTATTTAAATCAGATGAAGACGCTTTTACAAATTTGCAAGAATTAGGTTTGTATTGAAGATGAATTGAAACTTGTTGATAATGCCAATAATCCAATTAGGGGTAAATGAACCCTTTATATTCCAAAATAAATCACATAAATATATACAAACAAAAGATTCCAATACCGGGGTGGGCGTGAGGGGAGTGTCTCCGTGGTTAGAAGGCTGAAGATTGCAGAGCCAAAATCATGGAGACTTTTTGCACGCGGAAGAGAGCAAGTTCCAAGCTTGTATGTACGTTCCAGAAGGCTGGACGATCTCTGCCTCCTATGCCTGCCCAGCTCAGGAAGACCCCTGGGCACAGGAGAGAGTGTTAGGTAAAACTGGCTTATGGAATCCTCTTTCCTTCATCTTTCTGCACTTGCAGTTTCTGGAAAAGAGGGGACTAACCATCTAAACCTCCAGGCAGGGATCCTCTCTGGCCGGACTAGCTCTGGAGGAAAGCCCCCCCCCCCCCCCCCGAAAAAAAAAACCCTACATTTGGAGACTGTGCAATACAAAAGCTCTCTGACTTCCCACTGTACAATCCCTGGGTGCCAGTGCCCTCCCCCATACACACACACCGGGGGGAGAGAGAGACAGAGACAGAGAGACAGAAAGAGACAGGAACAGAGACAGAGAGACAGATTTCTAATCCAGTCTTAGTTTCTGCCTAGTAGAGTGAATGGGCACTCCAGAGGCTCCAAAGCGAAAGAAACCACACCCACCCAAACCACCTCGACAACCAAAAGGACCTTAAAGGAAATAGAACAAGAAGGAAGCCAAAAACGTCCATAAAACCAAAACAAAGCACTAAAAATTAAAACACCACTCAGACAAGAGCGAGATCTCTTGAGAATTAAATTATTTCCCTGAAGAATCTTTTTTTCTTTTGATCTAGAAGAGATGAATAATAGAAAAGAAAAGAAAAGAAATCCAGTCAATCAAGTCAGAAATCTCAACATACTGATCATCAGGATTCCCAGTCACAGTGCAATATTCTCAATAATGACAAACTTTAAAAAAAAAAAAAAAGCTGGGCAGTGGTGGCACATGTCTTTAATCCCAGCATTCAGAAGCCAGAGACAGGTGGATCTCTGTGAGTTCAAGGCTAGTCTGGTCTATAGAGAGGTCCAGGACAGTCAGGGCTACAAAGAGAAATCCTATCTTGAAAAAAGTAATAATAATAATAATGGCAAACATATATCTCCTGTCGCTCTTGAATTGCCGATAAAGCGTGGACTTTACTAAAACAGTTATAAATGAGGAGAATCCCCACACACACTCACATTCCACTAGTATGAAAATCTGAATAAAAGGATGAGCAGAAATGGTAAATCTGTGCCACTTGCGTATATCCATGAGGGAATGCATGTCCATTTTGCAAAGTTTTATTTTCTGCCTGGAGACTTACATTAGGTCTCTGTCAATAGAAATCCCGCTTAGTTTAAAGGGCTGCTACCAACAGTGCATAGTTTGACTGCTTTTTCATATGATCCCCAGACCTCAAGCTAGATCATGTTAAAAATTAAACAAATAATGGAAGATATGCATGATTTCAGGAGAAATCTCCCATTTCCCAGACGCAGGTAGTTCCCACTGTTGTTTTTACCTTTTGCCCCTTTGATTTTGACCAGTTTTTTTTTTTTAATGGACCCTAATAAGAACTTAGAAACTCAATCAGACAAACATATGGAGTCATGCCATCATAGATCAAAGTATCCGGAGGAGGCAGACTAGCCCTTAATTATTAGGTTACTGCTGCCCCACACCAATATGCTACGTAAGATGAAAGAAAACAGGGCTTACTTGGTAATTTATTTTTTTGACTTGCAACCACTGTGAAAATAATAGCAAAGGAAGCTGTGGTGATATCTTGTTGTACTCTAATAAAATTTGCCTGAAGATCAGAGGACAGAGCCAGCCACTAGATTAAACATAGAGGTCAGGCAGGGGTGGCACACACCTTTAATCCTAGCACTCAGGAATCAGAGATCCTCTCTGCGAGTTCCAGGCCACCCTGGGCTACATGAGATTGATCCAGTCTAGGAGAGAAACAGAGCCGGGCAGTGGTGGCACACACCTTTAACCTCAGTATTTGGGAGGCACACATGCCATCAATCCTAGCACTAGGAAGGTTGAGATAGGAAGTGAAATGGCTGGGCAGAGAAAGGCATATAAGGCGTGAGGAGACAGGAACTAGGAGCCCTTTCGGCTGAGGACTCAGAGGCATTCAGTCTGAGGATTCATGGAGACGGGATCAGCTGAGGAGTTGGCGAGGTGAGAAGAGAAGTGGCTGTGGCTTGTTTCCTCTGATCTTTCAGCATTTACCCCAATATCTGGCTCCGGGTTTTTATTATAAGACCATTTAGGATTCATGCAACAGGACGACATCTTGCCTTTGTTCTCTTTATCTCGGTTTCAAAACGTCTGGGCCAGGCTTCCAGACAATCTCTTTGTTGGTTGGCAGGGCCAGGCTCGCTTAGAGGAAAATCTGGGCTTTTTTTTTTTTTTTTTCTGTATGTGGCAACAAGATTCAGTGATAATAAGGCTGTGGTTTTAATCCTTCTCAGACACATTACACCCTCCCACAGAGATCGTTAACAAACACAGTGCATTTGAAAGTTTATTGTAGAGTTTAGAAATAATTTGCGCCATCTTTCCGTCTGGCCTTAGCTCTTCTTTCTCAATGTGCATACCCAGATCCCCATGGGGAGTGGAGAAGACATTTTGAAGCAAATGCAAAATCATTCTGAACGGGTTCTGTGTAACACAGCTGCTTCCCAACTTGTTATCACAGGCTGCTTTCCTCAGTTGCTCATCCCAGGTCTTCCCTAGGCCACCCGCACTCACCATCCACGCCCAGTCCACTCAGCCTAATGGGTCTACATCCGCTCTCTTCCTATACGGAGTGCTACCACACTAGAGAGTCCCACGACCACTGAGATCACAGACTGAAATGCCTGTGGGGAGGGTACAGATGTTCTATATGGCCGACCCCTCACAATACCCTTAGCATGCTAAGCCAGATTTCGCTGGGCTGCAGCTGGGTGGCCATGCTGGAATGCAGGTTTACATTTGTCAATGCTTGTAATTCCCCCAAAGAAACTGGCAATGGAGGGGTTTTTTGATAATCTCTCTAAGTATGTGATTTTATATATTTTAATTTTAATAGGGATTAAATATTTTTAAAACATAGGTAACTGAAACTGAACGGTTGGAGCGGAGTTGTGTGATGTGGTATGTTTGTGTGGATACACGTACTCAGGTGTGTGCATGTGGAGGCCATTCAACAGGGTATTGTCTGGTATAGAACACCTAGCACTGAAAACCACAAATAGTCTCTGATGGAAGCATGGTTTAGCGAGTGTTTAAAAATTACATTGTGGGCTGGAGAGATGGTTCCAGAGGCTACGAACACTGGCTGTTCTTCCAGAGGACCTGAATTCAATTCCCAGCACCCACATGGTGGCTCACAACCATCTGTAATGAGATCTGGCTCCCTCTTCTGGCCTTCAAGGACACATGCAAACAGAACACTGTATACATAATAAATAAATAAATAAATCGTTTTAAAAAATTGCATTGTGCCAGGCAGTGGTGGGCACACGCCATTAAGCCCAGCATTCGGGAGGCAGAGGCAGGCTTATCTCTGTGAGTTCAAGGCCAGCTTGGGCTACAGAGTGAGTTCCAGGAAAGGTACAAAGGTACACAGAGACACCCTGTCTCGAAAAACCAAAAACCAAAAACAAAACAGAAAAAACAATAAAAATTACATTGTATAGGAACAGAGGGGATGACTCCATGAATTAAAGGTTTCTTATTTAAGCATGAGGACATGAGTTTGGACCACCAGTCCCTATGCAAAAGTGGGCTGCAGGTGTGAATATCTATCCCCCCAGCACTGGGGACTCAGAAGAAGATAGGCCCTAGGGGCCTACTGGACAGCTAGTCTAAGCAAAACAGAGTGCTTCAAGTTTGGTGAGAGACCCTGTCTTGGAAAGAAAAAAAATGAGATGGAGAGTGATGGAGGGAGACCCCTCACATCAGCCTGTGACACATCCCCCATGAATGAATGCCCTGGCGACACTGAGAAGTGAGCTGTCCCCAGTCCCCTTTCACAGGTTAAATCCAGAAAATCTAAGGGCAACAGAAGTTAACAACGTTGCCTCTGATTTTTCAACTGTTGGCTTCTTGAGGGTGAGAACTGAGTGTTTAGGTCACCTGCCAATCTATCAACGACACGTTTCAAAAAAAATGAGGAAGAGAACAAGCCACGATTCAATAGAAAGATTTCAGGCTCCTGGACGCTAAAGAGAAACTCAAATCTCATTTATAATTCATGTTTGGGAACACAAATCTTCCTATCATCTTTAAAAGACCATGCTTACCTTCAAACAAGTGGAGAATGGTGGAGATGGTGTGCCAGGCACTGAACCACAAGCAGGTAGCTCTGAGCAGAAAACAAACACGTTCTCCATGTCCCCAGAAATAGCTAATTTAGGAAGCAGTGTGGGAACACTCATACTTATTTGCAACTCTCAAGTTTATTTTTAGGGGATTAAAATGTTTTCACATCAAAGCCCAAACTGCTCTTCCACTGCTTGGTGATGTCACTTAGTTCTAGAGGAATATATTCCGGAAGACACGGAGAAGGACACATGAGTGATGGGACCAGGGAATTTAAGAAAACCTTTTCGATTTGAGCCAAGCTAAGGAAAGGCTGTCGTTCACAAGCAGTTCCTGCTGTGGTGAGGGGAGCGTGCTGCTGAGCAAACACTTGTACTAATTAAAAAGTTCCAGTGCATTTGAAACCTTTATTGAGTCTCCCCTCTCTGACTGATCCCTGCACACGGCAGCCCACTGTTCAGATCAGTGCTGAAGATCAAGTCCAGGGCCTCCTGCGTCCTAGGCAAGTCTTCTGCCTGAGCTATTCTGCCAGCCTTTGTTTGCTTTTAGGGTTCCCAGGATCCGGCATACAGCCATTTTTGAAAGCCACTATTTTACAACATAAGAACTTCAGGCAGGCATGCCGCTGTCTGACTGAAGACTGCATTTTCCCGTTTCTACTGCTGTTGGGTGTCGCTGTATGTCTGTGTTTTAGTCATGGACTATGAGCAGAAGTAGTAAAGAGAGTTGTTAGGTTCTTGCCTTAAAAGGAGAGAGGCATACCCGATCCTCTTGCTACTTTCCATCTTTTGGCTGGCTGGAATGTGGACACAGTAGTGTAATAGAAAAAACCATTGAGACCAAGATGGGAAGCAAATACAGAGACTGGCAGAGCCACAGAGAGAGGTTTGGATGCCCAAAACAAT